CCCGCAGCCCCGGAGCCGCTGTCCCGGCCCGGCCCCGCCATGAGAGCCCCGGCGCCGGTTGCGCTGGGTTGCATCAGCTTGGTGCTGTGTCTGCTGGAGCTGCCCGCCTGCCTGCCCCTGCCCGACGGCCGCTCGCCCAAGCGCAGGTGAGCCGGGACCCCCCGCCCCTTGCCCGCACCCCGGCGTGGGGTGCCTCTCTGCCCTCCTGCCTGAACCCCTGCCCAGGGCAGCTCTGTGCCCCCCCTGCCCGCACCCCGGTGCAGGTGCGGGCAGGGGTGCTCTGCATGGGGTGGCTCTGGGCACCCTTGCCTGTCCCCCTGCCCGGGACACAGCCCTGCACCCCCCCACGGGCCCGGCCCCTGTCCCGCGTGGGGGGCTCCGTGCCCACCGCTCAGCCCTGCTTGAGCCTCCTGCCCCAGCCTCTGCCAGGCAGCCCGTGTCCGTCTGTCCCGCCGGCCACCCCCTCCAGCCCTGGCCACCCCAGCTCCCCGGGGGTTTAGGCAGGGCCCAGCCTGGCAGCACAGCTCCCTGTCCTGCTGCCCACTGTCCCCGCAGTGGGAGGGGACGCACAGCCTCATACCAAAGCCCCTCGTGCTGGTGGCAGGTTGTGGGCAGGTTCCCCCTGGGGGGGGACACGACACAGTGCCCTGGAGAGTGGGGGCAGATGGGGACTGCATGGAGGGGGTGGGCTGGGGGGTCTCCTGGGCCCTGTCTCCTGCCTGGACCCCAACCCTGTCTTCGCTGTGTGTCCCGTGCCTGTCCCCACAGTGCTGGTGGGGACACGGGGGGATGAGGTGGTGGGAGCGGGGTGAGGGGTGCCCGGCCCCCCGTGCTGCACCTTATCCCAGTGGGAATGGGGGAACGGTGCTGGGAGGAGGCAGGATGTGGCCAGGGCCGCAGGGACGCAGCGTGCCAGGGACAGTGAGGCTGGTCTGCGGGTTTGGGAGGGCGCAGGGGCCAGATTGGTACCTGTGTGAGTGTGCGCGCATGGGGCAGGCAGGGGGTGCGAGGGTTGGACAAGGTTTTGGTACACACTGTGATGGAGAGCGTGTATGTGCAAGAACTCATGGCGTGCCTGTGCCAAGGTGTGCGTGGCTGCGCGTGTGTGCAAGGCGAGGGGCGGTGGGGGGCTGTGGGTGCCCGTGGGGGCTGTGGGGTGCCAGGATCTCCCGCCCAAACCTCCTGCTTGAAGGGAGGCACCTCGGGTCGGGACCGAACCTCCCGTGGGTGCTGCGTGTGCGCGTGCACAGGCGCTGCGGGTGTGCATGTTGCTGCTTGAGGAGCGCGTTTGGGCTGTGCCCAGCGCCGTGGGAAGCCTGCATCTGGCTCCGGAGGGATCTGCGAGCGGCTCCTGCCTGCCTGGCGCCGCAGGCAGCCATCGGTGCAGCTCCCGGGGGTGCGGGGGGGGGGCCCTGCCTGGGACCATGTCCTGCTGCAGGGGTGGATGGGGGGGCTGGGTCTTCCAGACACCCCCCCCCCCCCCAGGCTCAGCAG